ACCCAGGGTTATATTAAACTCACCCATAACCGGCACTCTAAACCCAGAGTTATATTAAACTCACACATAACCAGCACTCTAAACCCAGAGTTATATTAAATTCACACATAACTACCACTCTCAACCAGTGTTATAGTAAACTCACCCATAAACAGCACTTTAAACCAGAGTTATATTAAACTCACACATAACTACCACTCTAAACCAGGGTTATATTAAACTCACCCATAAACAGCATTTTAAACCAGGGTTATATTAAACTCACCCATAAACAGCATTTTAAACCAGGGTTATGTTAAACTCACACATAACTAGCACTTTAAACCAGGGTTATATTAAACTCACCCATAAACAGCATTTTAAACCAGGGTTATATTAAACTCACCCATAAACAGCATTTTAAACCAGGGTTATGTTAAACTCACACATAACTAGCACTTTAAACCTGGTCGTTACCTTAACCACAAAGAACCAGCACTCTAATCCAGGCTCTTTATTAAATCCGCACATAACTAGCACTCTAAACCAATGTTTTTATTAAATACACACGTAAGTAGCACTCTAAACCAGGTTCTTTGTTATAACTACATGAAACAAGCACTCTAAACTGAGGTCTTTATTAAAACCACACATTACTAACACTCTAAACTGGGGTCTTTATTAAAACCACACATTACTAACACTCTAAACTGGGGTCTTTATGGTAACTCCTGGTAACTAGCACTCTAACCTAGGCTCTCCACTAAAGGGAAACCTCACACTGTTGTGTACTTTGCAGAAGCTGCAGTTAACAGTAGCTGGTTAGGAGACACAGGGAGAATAAAGGGTAAGGAAATGTGAGAGGTAGGATTGGAGATTGAAAGGAAAACAAAGTGAAGAAATAAATTTAAAGAAGGAGAGGAACCCTCCCACCATGAGGCAGAGGATGGAGTAAATTGATAATCGACAAAGGGAGATGAGTCATCTTAATGATTCCTTTTACAATTCTTCTGTAAAGGTGTGGCTCAGGATAGCTCTACAGATACACACACCCATGGTCAGTTGTTATGGATGGATCTGGACAAGAAGTAAGCTATTTGACTGTAAAGCCATCGCATCGAAGCTTGTGCAGGCACATTTAACTTTCGAGGATGTGGGTGGGGAATCTCGGGGGTTTGGGAGTGGGCGGCAGTGGGGCCAAGACTAAAATGTGGGGGTGCGGATGCTTCTGGGCTGCAGAGATCTAAGCCTCTTGGTGGGTTTTTAAATATGGCGCCCAGACATTGGAACTCAGGATAAACCAGCGGTGAGGCCAGAACTTCCTGTCCATGAAAGTTGGCATCTTACCCGTGCCGCACAGGTAATGAACGAATGCAATCACGTGCGAACGTGCGACCTACACCCCACTCTTTTCCTGAACAGAAGTCCCTCCCAATCTCCTCAAAAATGAACCAAAATTCTGTCCCGTGTAGTCTTTAGGTGAAAAATCAGGTCAAAATATTCCTGACCTAGTCTGGGAGAAGCAGGATCTAGAAAGACCTCCTTCCACAGCGACCGCACTTCTAAGTGAAACCGTCATCCATTAGTTTGAGTCATAGAATCATACAGCATGGAAGTAGACCCTTCGTCCATGCCGGGGATAGTAAGAACTGCCATATTGAATATTGAATACCCATATTGAATAACCTGATTTATAGACACTCCATACATCAGGACTTCACATTTAATCACAAAGTGCTGCTAATATGACTGTAATGATCATTTTCCTCATTGATTTCAGAGATGTGGCACTGAGCTCCCGTGGTCTCACAGCTTATAATTCTCTTCAATCCTAACTGTCAGTGAAACACAATTTGATCAAACTCCCTGGTCCGAGGTTTAAAAAGCACTTGAGAGAGAAGAAGGTAGCAAACTGTTTTGCCATCAGATTGGTCAGCTACCTTTCGGCTTCTCCATACTTGCCCCTGTCCTTTGGCTCTGGTTTAAGAGGAATGCCACAGTACACTGATGGAGCAGACTGAATCTCATGAGGTAGCAAGACTTGTGTGACCCACTGCATCCTACTCCCCAACTCATATCTGTACCCACCTATCCCTCTACTCACTCACCCACCTTGGCCCCCAGTTTGGCAACTCAAGTCAGACAGTCATAGAGTCATACAGCATGGAGACAGACCCTTCGGTCCAACTCATCCATGGTTTCCTCAACTGATCTAGTCCCATTTGCCTGTGTTTGACCCATATCCCTCTAAACCATGTACCTGTTCAAATATCTTTTAAATGTTGTAATTGTACCCACTTATACCACTGCCTCTGGCTGCTCGTGCCACACACGCACTACCCTCTGTGTGAAAAAGTTGCCCCCTCACCTCCCTTTCAATCCTTTCCCCTCTCATCTTAAACCTATGCTCTCTAGTTTTGGACTCCCCTACCCTGGGAAAAGGACCTTTGCTATTCACCTTATCAATGCCCCTCATGAATTTGGAAACCTCTATAAGGTCAGCCCACTACCTCCGACGCTTCAGCAAAAAAAGTCCCAGCCTATCCAGCATCTCCCCATAACCCAAACCATCCAGTCCCGGTAACATCCATGTAAATCTTTTCTGCACTCTCTCCAGTTTAATCACATTGTTCCAGTTGCAGGACGATGAGGTTTGTACACAGTACTCATAGTATTCTATGAAAAGTCATTATCTGTTCGCCGTCCTCACTGTGAGCACTTCCACTCATCAAAAATGGCAAGAATCAAAGGCCATGAGACTCCAGGAAACTTCTCTGGTTGCCCCAAGACCAGGGGAGGCCAGTTGTAGAGTGCATTAGCTAAAGGGAGATGGGTTCATGCTGTGTAGTGGCCAACACCACACCCAAAAGCCTCAAAATACCACCCTCATTCCTACTGTCTGCAAAGGGCAACCATTTGGGAACAAGGTCTGAAATCACACGATACCAGGTTATACTCCAATGGGTTTATTTGAAAACACAAGCTTTCAGAGCCTCGTTCCTTCTTCAGGTGTTAGTGAGAGAGGTAGCATCAGATACAGAATTTATAAGAAAAGATCAAAGGTTCACACCATTGAATAAGATGTACTAAACAAACTGAAGATGCTGTTAAATTTTTAATCAGTTAGAAGGTTTAAATTGACTAATATGTATTTTTAATCCCCAAATTCCTTTCAAGTCACGGTCCTGAGAAAACTAAGGGTTTTATCAGTGTAAAGAAGAGGTGACATTTTAGGTCAGACAATGCATGTTAGATGTGAGACCTTGTTTAAAATCTGTTTGT